ACACGTCAGTTGGAACCAAAAATCTCAAATTTGGACTCATCAGACCAAAGGACAAAATTTCCACCGGTCTAATGTCCATTGCTCGTGTTTCTTGGCCCAAGCAAGTCTTTTTTTCTTATTGGTGTCCTTTAGTAGTGGTTTCTTTGCAGCAATTCGACCATGAAGGCCTGATTCACGCAGTCTCCTCTGAACAGTTGTTGTTGAGATGTGTCTGTTACTTGAACTTTTATTTGGGCTGCAATTTCTGAAGCTGGTAACTAATGAACATATCCTCTGCAGTAGAGGTTACTCTGGGTCTTCCTTTCCTGTGGCGGTCCTCATGAGAGACAGTTTCATCATAGCGCGTGATGGTTTTTGCGACTGCACTTGAAGAAACGTTCAAAGTTCTTGACATTTTCCGGAGTGACTGACCTTCATGTCTTGAAGTAATGATGGACTGTCGTTTCTCTTTGCTTATTTGAGCTGTTCTTGCCATAATATGGACTTTGTCTTTTACCAAATAGGGCTATCTTCTGTATACCACCCCTACCTTGTCACAACACAACTGATTGGCTCAAACGCATTAAGAAGGAAAGAAATTCCACAAATTAAGCTGGTTGAGAGAATGCCAAGAGTGTGCAAAGCTGTCATCAAGGCAAAGGGTGGCTACTTTTGAAGAATCAAATATATTTTGATTTGTTTAACACTTATTTTAGTTACTACATGATTCCATATGTGTTATTTCATAGTTTTAATGTCTTCACTATTTTTCTACAATGTAGAAAATAGTAAAAAATAAAGAAAAACCCTGGAATGAGTAGGTGTGTTCAAACTTTTGACTGGTACTGTATGTAGTAATAACCCTACACTGCTCTGCTTTTCTCTGGGTGAGGAGAGACACTGACATGGAACTATTAGCTATTAGCTCTAATAGCTCTGGTCTGGGAGTCATTAGCTACTGGATGACAGCTGGTGAATTAGGATTAGGAAGTAATGCTTTCTCAGTATTAGAGCTGACCAACATAAACAAATGCTAACAACTGTCACAAACGGTACGGCAGTGCACGCAACCACTCATATTGAGTAACATTGACAGACCTCTGTTGTGAAAGAATCAAGATAGTTGTGGCCTGGCCAAAACAGAATTATTAACACAATGGATTGCACAATTAATATGCAAGCATGGCCAATCTGAAACTCAATCAATATTTGTGTGTGTGTGTGTGTGTGTGTATTGTTGTTAAGGCCAGAGAGATCAGAGGGTCTCTCACAGATGTTTCTCTCACTCTGCACAAAAACAGGAAGCAGAGCATTGAGGCGCTTAAGGCAGAGAATGGGCTCTCCAGTTTCACTGTAGTCTGGCTTGCCAGTGCCATTTCAAACATCACATACAAGATCTGTGAAAAAACAGACGTGTACCTGCATGCTACATTTATCATATTGGGCCTGTCTTCATATACAACTATGCTCCTATACACACACACACTGACATTGACACATGCACTCAAGCGGTGCCTACACCTCCTTTCCAAACACAGTATTAAGCCAGTATTAAGTTGCTTGTCCTTTTCTTTTGCACGTTGATATCCCTATACAGCACAGGAGGTTGGTAGCACCTTAATTGTGGAGGACGTGCTCGTGGTAATGGCTGGAGCGGAATGAGTGGAATGGTATCAAACACATGGTTTATGTGTTCGTCATTCCATTCGCTCCATCCTAGTCATTCTTATGAGCCGTCCCCCTCTCAGCAGCCTCCACTGCTATATAGCCACAAGACCTGATTGAATACTATTGTGATAGCATGAATCAATGTGGCTTGATAACTGATACCTGAATGTTGACTTTTGAGGCAAGTAAAGAGGAGAGGGGAGGAGCATGTTGCTGTTAATTCTAGCTCCTACTGATAATATCTCTTACACAGTTGAAGTCGGAAGGTTACATACACCTTAGCCAAATACATTTAAACTCAGTTTTTCAATTCCTGACATTTAATCCTAGTAAAAATTCCCTGTCTTAGGTCAGTTAGGATCACCACTTTATTTTAAGAATGTGAAATGTCAATAATAGTAGAGTGATTTATTTCAGCTTTTATTTCTTTCATCACATTCCCAGTGGGTCAGAAGTTTACATACACTCAATTAGTATTTGGTAGCATTGCCTTTAAATTGTTTAACTTGAGTCAAACATTTCGGGTAGCCTTCCACAATAAGTTGGGTGAATTTTGGCCCATTCCTCCTGACAGAGCTGGTGTAACTGAGTCAGGTTTGTAGGCCTCCTTGCTCGCACAAGCTTTTTCAGTTCTGCCCACCATTTTCTATAGGATTGAGGTCGGGGCTTTGTGATGGCCACTCCAATACCTTGACTTTGTTGTCCTTAAGCCATTTTGCCACAACTTTGGAAGTATGCTTGGGGTTATTGTCTATTTGGAAGACCCATTTGCGACCAAGCTTTAACTTCCTGACTGATGTCTTGAGATGTTGCTTCAATATATCCACATAATTTTCCTTCCTCATGATTCCATCTATTTTGTGAAGTGCACCAGTCCCTCCTGCAGCAAAGCACCCCCACAGCATGATGCTGCCACCCCCGTGCTTCACGGTTGGGATGGTGTTCTTCGGCTTGCAAGTTTCCCCCTTTTTCCTCCAAACATAACGATGGTCATTATGGCCAAACAGTTCTATTTTTGTTTCATCAGTCCAGAAGACATTTCTTCAAAAAGTACAATATTTGTCCCCATGTGCAGTTGCAAACCGTAGTCTGGCTTTTTTATGGCGGTTTTGGAGCAGTGGCTTCTTCCTTGCTGAGCGGCCTTTCAGGTTAGGTCGATATAGGACTTGTTTTACTGTGGATATAGATACCTTTTTACCTGTTTCCTCCAGCATCTTCACAAGGTCCTTTGCTGTTGTTCTGGGATTGATTTGCACTTTTCGCACCAAAGTACGTTCATCTCTAGGAGACAGAACAAGTCTCCTTCCTGAGCGGTATGACGGCTGCGTGGTCCCATGGTGTTTATACTTGCGTACTATTGTTTGTCTTGGCTGATTTATTTTGATTTTCCCATGATGTCAAGCAAAGAGGCACTGAGTTTGAAGGTAGGCCTTGAAATACATCCACAGGTACACCTCCAATTGACTCAAATGATGTCAATTAGCCTATCAGAAGCTTCTAAAGCCATGACATCATTTTCTGGAATTTTCCAAGCTGTTTAAAGGCACAGTCAACTTAGTGTATGGAAACTTCTGACCCACTGGAATTGTGATACAGTGAATTATAAGTTAAATAATCTGTATGTAAACAATTGTTGGAAAAATTACTTGTGTCATGCACAAAGTAGATGTCCTAACCGACTTGCCAAAACTATAGTTTGTTAACAAGAAATGTGTGGAGTGAATGAAAAACAAGTTTTAATGACTTCCGACTTCAACTGTATGTCTTACTCACCATGCAGCAACATGAGTAATCTTTTGAACAATGTCCTGTTGGGAGGGGATATTCACTATGCCTCACTTTGAGACATACAGTAAGATCATAAGGTAATTGCGGATGTAGACATTTAGCCCAACAATATCATCTAGCTAGCACAATGCTCTATGTATTTACAGACATTGCATAGTATGGACTGGGCCATAGGGTTTACCACTTGCCACAGTGTCCTTTGTTGGGCACTAATACACAGAAGAGTCAGAACACATAACAGAGTGAGTAATGAAGGTTAACTGTAACAGCTACCCCGGTGAGAAAGGAAGGAAGGAAGGAAGTGACAGAGGAGAGCCAGCTGGTAGGACTGAGCCAAACAGGATGTAGACAGCAGGGTGTGGCCGGGGAGGACAGGAAGCAGCTAGGAGCCAATGAGAGCAGCAGGCTCACAGAGACACAACCTTAACCTTTGACCCCCAGCTCTGAGAGGTTCTGGGATAGTTATTGTTCAAGATACCAGCACAGGTACTGAGACTTTTCGATTCTACAGTCCAAGAATTAGGTCTAGATTTGAAGTCTCCATCTGGTGGTCTGTACTATGGCCATGTGCCCCCCTGGCATAGTAGTCTTCAAGTTGGTAGGCATTTAGACTCTCTGTTAAAAGTTCTGAACTCAAGATCAGAGGGCCTGACACATATATACACAAATGTTATACACACACACACACACAGAGAGAGAGAGAAAGAGATCAGCAGACTCTGATTACGGACCTATTTGTGTTGACTCAGGGCCAGTTTTGAGGGTGTCGGCAGGCTAGGGACATGAATGTGAGTACTGTTCCGGAATCGTCTGAAATAGTTACACTGCCACTGTTACACATAGACAACCAATCACAGTATTCATGGTATTCTCTATGTGAGGAAGTTGCTTCTCACCTACAGAATTTTCTGGTTTATCATATTTACTCAAAGTATAAATATTTATTCAAGTTATTTATTTAAGAACAAGTTGTGTTTTGTGTATGTATTTATTCATTCAGTCACTTCAACAGTTCTAAGTTTACTTATCCACCATATCAAACCTCTACAGCAAATTGTGTTAAAGTGTTTAATTGTTTATTTGTTTCTAATGGCTAAGCACTAATGAAGTGGCTAACTGACACAGCTGATTTTATCCCTGGTAATTAGGTCACCTGCCATTTCAAATAGGTGTGCCCAAATAGTTGTTAGTTGGTTGTATTTTAACCTAGGTGAGACACGGTTTTAAGCTGCCAATGTATTTGGGTTTTAACTTGCTCTGGAAATACATGTATTGTTATTTCTTTATAAATATGATACCTTTGAACAGTTCATCAGTTGTTAAAGTCTTTCAAGGAGTAATATCTTGTATGATGTATCTTATTTATTATGTAGGCTGTTGTTTTGTTGTGATAATTGTGTTAACCCTGTTTAGACCCCCAGGAAGAAAGCAGCAGCTAATGGGGATCCTAATAAATATTAACACTAGGGGTTAGAGTAAGCCATCTCTTTTACACTATGTCTTAGATACTTTGTCTTTACCTTATGTTAGCTTCTATATAACTGAAGTGTATGGATGGTCAATAACAAAGACAACACACCAATGTTTGCCTGCCCTATCTGAAACGATATCTCTCTCCTTGCAGGAACAGTCATGGCAAACAAAGGTCCCTCCTACGGTCTGAGCCGTGAGGTGCAGAGTAAGATCGATAAGAAGTATGACCAGGATCTGGAGGAGAGGCTGACTGAGTGGATCATCGCCCAGTGTGGAGCCGGAGTTGGCCAACCCGAGGCAGGCAAGACCGGTTGGCAGAACTGGCTCAAGGACGGATGTGTGAGTGCCTATCTTTCTCATACCTTGTGGATGTGGGGGGAGTGTGTGTGAAGGTAGGTTTGCTTGAATTTGTCTGCCAGTCTTGCACAGGTAGTGAATACTTTTCCTCTCTCCCCCTCTCCAGGTGCTGTGTGAGCTGATCAACAGCCTGTCCAGTGGGAACAAGCCCATCAGGAAGATCCAGAGCTCAGGCATGGCTTTCAAACAGATGGAGCAGATCTCCCAGTTCCTCAACGCGGCTGAGAAGTACGGCATCACCAAGACCGACATGTTCCAGACAGTCGACCTCTGGGAGGGTATGTACATCAAGCCAGCTGCCATCAGCTGTACCCTCCCACATTACACTTCATACACAAATCACCTCTATCCTCAGTTCAACTAGCATGCTATACAGAGCATTTGAAATACTATTGCTGCTTATTCACCATGCCTAAAGTAGCTGCATTCACTGTTTCTTAGACTATGCTATACAGTAGTTGCAGTCCCTCTTACTAAACAAGTGTCTGGATGTGCAGTATTAATGTCTTACTGTGTATTCATGTGTCTGTAGGGAAAGACCTGGCTGCTGTCCAGAGGACCCTGATGGCCCTGGGAAGCATGGCTGTCACCAGGGACGATGGGACGTACCGTGGAGACCCCAACTGGTTCCATAAGTGAGTCAGAACCTCATTCTGTCCTCTCCGTAGAAACAGTCCTGTCATTAGACTGATCTCTTACAGCTCTCTGCATACTCCCATTTCTGTAATAAAGGGAACTGTTTGATCACAATATGAACAGTGACTGTAAATGTAGTGTGCTGTACATGACGGTTTCTGTCTACAGGAAATCTATGGAGAACAGACGGGAGTTCTCAGAGGACCAGCTGAATGAAGGCAAGAGCGTCATCGGCCTGCAGATGGGCACCAACAAGGGGGCATCTCAGGCTGGCATGACTGGGTACGGGCGACCCAGGCAGATCCTAAACAATAACCCCTAAAACATGACAATGCCCTGTCACCCCACACCTCAGTACATTCCTCCCTCTCTCTGCCAGTCACTGGAGACAGAAGCTCTCTGTAAACTCAAACAAACAGGAGAGTCTCAACAAACTGGACCAAAATGGGGACCATAAAACATACTTGTACACAAAGCACAGATACACACACAGAAACCTAGTGACCAAAGTCTGTAAAATCATGTTTTTATTGAATATGCCGAATAGACATGACTACATAGGAAAGAAACACATTCCATTTAGATACTGCTTTTAACACTGCACTCTGATGGTAATAAGTCTTGAGACATTTTGCTAGAATATGCTGGGTTTGTACTGGGAAAGATGCAGTAAGATGCTGTCAATAATAATCAAATGTTGGGCAACCTTTCAAGAGCTCAGTATTTTTGTATGTTGATAATTAATGATTCTGAAATAAAGTTCAGTTTAATTTGAAAAACGCTTCTCATTCTTTACAACACATAGATACCAAAGAACTACACTGCAAGATAACAATACTGAACAAAAATATTAACTCAACATGTAAAGTGTTGGTTTCATGAGCTGAAATAAAAGATCCCAGACATTTTCAATTAGCACAAAAAGCTTTTCTCTCATGTTGTGCACACATTTGTTTACATCACTGTTAGTGTTTCTCCTTTGCCAAGATAATCCATCCACCTGACAGATGTGGCATATTAAGAAGCTGATTAAACAGCATGATCATTACACAGGTGCATCTTGTGCTGGAGACAAAAGGCCACTTTAAAATGTGCAGTTTTGTCACAATGCCACAGATGTCTCAAGTTTTGAGGGAGTGTGCAATTTGCATGCTGACTGCAGGAATGTCCACCAGTGCTGTTGCCAGAGAATGTAACGTTCATTTCTCTACCATAAGCCACCTCCAACGCCAATTTTTGAGAATTTGGCAGTATGGCCTCACAACCGCAGACCACGTGTAACCACGCCAGTCCAGGACCTCCACATTCGGCTCTACCTGCGGAATCGTCTGAAACAAGCCACCTGGACAGCTGATGAAACTGGAGTATTTCTGTCTGTAATAAAGCCCTTTTGTGGGTAAAAACTCATTCTGATTGGCTGGGCCTGGCTCCCCAGTGTGTGGGCCTATGCCCTCCCAGGCTCACCCATGGCTGCTCCCCTGCTTGGTCATGTGAAATCCATAGATTAGGGCCTAATGAATTCATTTCAATTGACTGATTTCCTTATATGAACTGTAATTCAGTCAAATCTTTTAAGTTGTTGCATGTTGCATTTATATTTTTGTTCAGTATAGTTAGACCGGGCTTTTGTGGTTTATTTATATACCGGTATGTACATTGAGGTTAGAACAGTTCCTGTAGGCTACTCTCAATATGATTTGTACAGTCTGGATGATAAAGTACAGAACTAATATGCAGTATAGTAACATAAGTTTCAATGAAATCCAACTCTCTCTGCCATCTAACCCTGCTGCAGCTGGTTGGTCATTACAGGAGAACTCTGGGGTCTTTGGCGGGGCCCTTTCTCCACACTACTGGAGATATAGGTACAGTGGGGAAAAAATTATTTAGTCAGCCACCAATTGTGCAAGTTCTCCCACTTAAAAAGATGAGAGAGGCCTGTAATGTTCATCATAGGTACATGTCAACTATGACAGACAAAATGACGAAAAAAAATCCAGAAAATCACATTGTAGGATTTTTAATGAATTTATTTGCAAATTATGGTGGAAAATAAGTATTTGGTCAATAACAAAAGTTTCTCAATACTTTGTTATATACCCTTTGTTGGCAATGACACAGGTCAAACGTTTTCTGTAAGTCTTCACAAGGTTTTCACACACTGTTGCTGGTATTTTGGCCCATTCCTCCATGCAGATCTCCTCTAGAGCAGTGATGTTTTGGGGCTGTCGCTGGGCAACACGGACTTTCAACTCCCTCCAAAGATTTTCTATGGGGTTGAGATCTGGAGACTGGCTAGGCCACTCCAGGACCTTGAAATGCTTCTTACGAAGCCACTCCTTCGTTGCCCGGGTGGTGTGTTTGGGATCATTGTCATGCTGAAAGACCCAGCCACGTTTCAGCTTCAATGCCCTTGCTGATGGAAGGAGGTTTTCACTCAAAATCTCACGATACATGGCCCCATTCATTCTTTCCTTTACACGGATCAGTCGTCCTGGTCCCTTTGCAGAAAAACAGCCCCAAAGCGTGATGTTTCCACCCCCATGCTTCACAGTAGGTATGGTGAGCGTCTGCTAAATGACTAAAATGTAAATGTAAATGTGTTCTTTGGATGCAACTCAGCATTCTTTGTCCTCCAAACACGACGAGTTGAGTTTTTACCAAAAAGTTCTATTTTGGTTTCATCTGACCATATGACATTCTCCCAATCCTCTTCTGGATCATCCAAATGCACTCTAGCAAACTTCAGACGGGCCTGGACATGTACTGGCTTAAGCAGGGGGACACGTCTGGCACTGCAGGATTTGAGTCCCTGGTGGCGTAGTGTGTTACTGATGGTAGGCTTTGTTACTTTGGTCCCAGCTCTCTGCAGGTCATTCACTAGGTCCCCCCGTGTGGTTCTGGGATTTTTGCTCACCGTTCTTGTGATCATTTTGACCCCACGGGGTGAGATCTTGCGTGGAGCCCCAGATCGAGGGAGATGATCAGTGGTCTTGTCTGTCTTCCATTTCCTAATAATTGCTCCCACAGTTGATTTCTTCAAACCAAGCTGCTTACCTATTGCAGATTCAGTCTTCCCAGCCTGGTGCAGGTCTACAATTTTGTTTCTGGTGTCCTTTGACAGCTCTTTGGTCTTGGCCATAGTGGAGTTTGGAGTGTGACTGTTTGAGGTTGTGGACAGGTGTCTTTTATACTGATAACAAGTTCAAACAGGTGCCATTAATACAGGTAACGAGTGGAGGACAGAGGAGCCTCTTAAAGAAGAAGTTACAGGTCTGTGAGAGCCAGAAATCTTGCTTGTTTGTAGGTGACCAAATACTTATTTTCCACCATAATTTGCAAATAAATTCATTAAAAATCCTACAATGTGATTTTCTGGAGAGAAAAAATTCTCAATTTGTCTGTCATAGTTGACGTGTACCTATGTTGAAAATTACAGGCCTCTCTCATCTTTTTAAGAGGGAGAACTTGCACAATTGGTGGCTGACTAAATACTTTTTTTCCCCACTGTATGTGACAAGGAAAGACTATTACAAAAAATTGAAAATCAGACGAGGGAGGAGTATGGTGGGAAGGAGGGAGTGGTATTGGCTGGCTGGATTCTTTAACTGCTGATACTAAGTCTTTCTGACAGGGCACACTAACCCAGACTGCCAGCACAAGGCTTATTTTATAACTGACAGTGAGGCAGGGAGAGAGGAAGAGGGACAACAGGAGGGAGGTGAGGGATTCAGTGGAGGAGTATTACGCTTCTCTCTCCTTTCAAGGGTTTGTTTATACTGTGTTCAGCTGGAGTGCCGACTAAGCTGTTCAGCATGAGGACAGGAAGAAACAGGCCAGGCACAGAGAAAAGGAGGCTGGGATGAGACTGGGAGAGATAGAGAAAGAAAGGGAGATGGAAGAGATGGTGAAGAGAGGAGTGGTGCAATAGATATAGATATTGGGACATGAGGATAATTAGGGCATACATGGTGTCCGATAGGGAGAGTGAATGGAGATGTATAAGAGTGATAGCTCTCTCTACATTGGGGTACAGCGTATGGAATCAGAGAACATTTCCTAAAAAGGACTGATCAAGGCAGGGGGAGGTCAGAGAGAGAGACCACCTCCTTTTTCTTTCTCTCATTCTTTCTCTCCGTTTCTTAGAGATGGCATGTATACACACAGTAACACAGTGTGGGGAATACAGTCACAAAAGTGAGTCATTATCAATATCAACTAACCTCATATCAACTCTGACCTGGCTGGAGACACACACACACCAACTGGATCAACTCAGCTCAAAAAGAAAGGACATTTTCCTACTGCCCTATTCTCCACTTGGCCTGTGCATCTAAATAAGGGCTTTACGGTGTTCTCAGAGGTTCTAGAAACAATATGTGAAAGAGGAGGGAATATAGAAATGAGGTACAATGTCCCTCCTCTAAAGGGAAGTACACAGGAAAGGCACAGGAGGTTGGTGGCACCTTCATTGGGGAGGACGGGCTTGTGGTAATGGCTGGAGCAGAATAAGTAAAACGGTATCACATGGTTTGATGCCATTCCATTCGCTCCGTTCCAAACATTTATGAGCCGTCCTCCCCTCAGCAGCCTCCACTGAAAGGAGGTGTATGTGTCCCAGAGCTGTGTGCCAAACAGTGGCGTCAACCAACTCTGCTAATAATCGATTAATCAATTAATACAATAGCAGTAAAGGACACAGTGTGATCCACTGTAAAACCATGAAACCTCTGAATAGCATATGATGCAATGCCCTAGTAGTAGACAAAGATATCTATTTTTCAGCCAAAGTACACACTTTATCTAACATAAATATGTTTTGACATGTTTACCATAGAAACACAGTGAGACATATAGCGGTGTGACTGATTTCCCTCTAGCTGCGGTTGAAAGTAGGTGTGAACTAACTGGTGAAGTGAGGTGAGGTGACGGAGGAGGATATATGAGATGTTTCAGAGAAACACTCCAGTCATGTCCTGACTCTCTCTCTGACTGTGGTATGGCGGCAACGTTTTGAAGATTGTGTCAGTTCTCCTGGTTCTCTGTGATGTCACGTCAGCAACATTATACTGACAATGCTCCTGCCTCACAGTGCATATGGAGGGCACTATGGTGGGGGGCCTGGGAAGATATTAGTAGAGGTAGGATGGAGGCAGGGGGGGCTGTACAGCTGTAGGGAGGTGTTATTAGGATTTTAAATAGGCGGGAAGACAGAAAGTGTATGTGAATAAGTCTGTACTTGAAGAGGGAGAGGTCTGGGTGGGGTGTAGGAAGCTTATATTATGATCCAGCCAAGGTCAGTGTCTACGATATCAGTGTTACTCTCACACACCCTCGCAGCCCATGACATCCACAGACATGGCTTGGTCACCAGGGAAACAGCAAAAAACAGTAAGCAAAACAGTCAGTGTCGGCTCCTCCTCTACATCTCCTCATCTCTTCCTTCCTTCCTCCCCTCCTTCCTCCTCCTCTCTCTGGTGATCATTATCAGCATTTGGTTTAGCCTATCACAGCAGAACACATATGTTACCCGCGGGGCGGATGGGTTTAGGGTCATTAAATATTGTGTGGATGAAGGGCGGGTTGGTGACGGGAGGGTTGAATACAGAGAAAACAATACTTAAAAAATCCATAAATGTATAATTCTTGTGCAATGTATATCTATAAGCTACACTGAGGTTTTTCTTTCATTATTTTAGGCTATCTGGCATTAGTGCTTAAGCCTAAGCTTTAGGGCCTAGCCAAATATATTTATAACTAACCCAAGATAGACCAGAGC